GGTTCAGGTTCTGGTTCAGGTTCTGGTTCAGGTTCTGGTTCTGGCTCTTCCACTACTTCAGAAGCCGGTTCCTCTTCTACTGCTGTTATTGAAGTCTCAGAAAACTCTGGTTCAATTGTTCGCACAACTGCCTTCGGCACTGTTGTTAGTGTAATTATCACTTTGTTCCTCGTTTAAATATCTCCATTGAACTTTCTCTCTGTGATATTGTCATTGTTAATTTATTTCAACTCATGGGCTGTCTTTTTGTTTCCTGGTCAGCTATTGGACTTCATACAGGTCAGTTATTTCTTTCAATATTTTGTGCTCCACTGAGCTGTTAAATACCCTCAACCACTTTCTTAGTTGATAAACTGTTTTATCTTTCTTTTCTTCTGGTGAAGACTATATCTTTTCAATATGTGTTACTTCTCCTCAAATGTAAGGTCTACTTTATACTTATACAGTATACTGCACTTTGTAGCAAAACAATTTGAATTCAGTCCTTTAGTGATTTCTTCTTTTCTGGCGGAGTTGAAAAGGTTTTGGCATCCAACTATCTGCAATCACTCAAGTTGAATGTATTCAGAACAATTTTAGCCGGCGTAAGAGCTTCAAGATCACTTGCCATGAGTTTGCACAGTGCAGTTACTTTGCTTTCTCTTTCTTTTGAGGGCAATGCCAACTATACAACTGGTATGCGACCAATTAGGATCCACGTAATAAGGCTATGGAAAGAGTTATCCAAAATTGTATTCGTGGAATCTTGTTGATGCTGAAATACATACGGATATGTTTAGATGCGGTTTATTATCTTCCACATGCCAACCCCTAATGTCAATGACCTGACTTTTCAGTTATTCTCTTGGTGTTTCTACTTGTAAACGTTGGGGGTACCCCAACCTAGAGGGACTTCTTAATTTCTAACACCTCCTCAAAGCGAAGAAGTCCACTTGTTGTAAACACTTTCCTAACCCCCGGATACATATATGCGAACTTAGCTATAGATGTGTCTGGTGCAATGACTTGTGCATTAAGGTACACCAACTTCCCAAATCCCTTGTTCAATTGCCTAAATTAACCCGGGATACATTGCAACTTTCAGCAACGTCCGTTAAACAATTTTATTCGCCTGGAAGAGTCAGTATCACCTTCACAAAACATAATAACTCGCTGCTCGTAGCTCCCAACACACTCATTACAACCCAAAGACTATGGCACATGATTCATCATCCAACGCTGATGATAACCGACACTTCAAAGCACACCTCGTTCGTGGACCATCGCAGTTATTTAAATGATAAGCTCCAGATGCTCCACCCAAAAGGTGAATTGAACTAGGAAATACAAACAGAGCCTTTGTTAATCCACAGTTGTTATTCTCTCATTTACGCCTTTATATAAGCGCCTAAACTTCAAAACCTATTCGCATACCAAGTTCACTACACAGAGTCGCTAGATCACCTACACTGAGGACTACATTGTGCTCATGTACAGTGACTTAGTAGGTGTTCGTGGTGACTACCTAAGCCGTGAACAGATTTAATCCCACTTGCATGGCTCACACCCACACACCACAATCGCACGGGCGTCGTTGTCAGCACCCCACGCATTGCCGCAGTAACCTCTTGGCCGTCCTCGGTTGTTGTTGTTGTTGTTTTTATTTCTGTGGTCTATAACTTCACTTTATCAGAACTGCTTGGGTATCTTGTTCGAATGCAGAAAGAGCCTTGAAGATCGCCTGAAACTCAAAAAGGTACTCGATGGCGATGGTAAGGTGTAAGGTCCCTTGTTGAGTGATGTGATTGTATCTATGCCTCGAAGCTGAGGCAGGTGAGGGTTTACGATGAGTGAATATCAGAAAACAAAACCACTACGTGAAGTTTGTTGTTATAAAAGCTATCGAGGGTATCTTGTTCTCAGCCCTCTTGACGGCCATGATGTGCTCCCCTTTCCATATCAAACAGGAAGTGAGCTGGGACAATGAATTTGTTCAAGTTTGCCGTTGTTGTCATTGCCGTTTGTAAAACGGGATTGGCCCATGTTGACAAACTATCCTTCAAATACGGTGCTTCTGACGTTATTAGCCCTTCTGAGGACTTCCACTCGAAGCCAGACAATTGCGATGTGTCTACTTTGGTTGTCGCTGGCGGAGCAGGTATATCCTTGGAGTTTGCCAATTGGGTTGATCAAAAACAATTCGGTTATGACGTGCACGTTGTGGCTAACTTACTCAACTGTGAAGCTAAAGCTGCAAATTTATGGACTGACACTAACTTACAGCTCTCTGATATCCAACTGTCGAGTTGTTCTGAGGGCTTGGTTCTTGATATTCAAACCGTTGATGAATCTTTATACGTGGATCACCTCGCTATCGAACTTCTCACCACCATGGGATCAATTGTTCTATCGGAAGACTGTTCGAACCCAAATTATGCTGCAAGTGTTCCATTGCAAAATCGTGGGGTGAAGTGTATCACTGTTCCAACTGTAAATTCCTTTGGTAAGAAATGCAGACCTACAAGCCTTACTCCTAAGAAGGCTCCCGAATACCCTAATGCAAAGACAACTACCATTGTGGTCACTGAATCTACTGCTTCAAAGACATCAACAATGCTTAACAAACCATCTGTTAAACTTTCTCTTTCAGGTTCTACACTTGAAGCAACTAATCCTCCGAGTGAACCTGAAGTCCTTAAACCAGGTCTTGCGGTTGAGCTTCCTATTACCAGAACTTTCCAGAAACCAACTCCGGTTCCGTCAACTTTAGTTAAAACAAGTGAGTATGCCGAAGCCTCTGACCGTTTGGATTCATCTACATCAGCTGCCTCAGGTGAATCAATCGATTCTATGAAGGAACATCAA